GTGTGTGTGTGTGTGTGTGTGTGTGTGTGTGTGTGTGTGTGTGTGTGAAGTGCTTCCCAAGCTGGTCACAAGATTTCACATATAAACGTACATTTTACATACAATATAATGTTTTACGTAAAGATGCTAACATTTCTGTTTACCTGTCTGTCTGTCTCTCTCTCGCTCTCTGTGTGTCTCTTTCCCTGTCTCTCTGTCTGTCTGTCTGTCTCCTGTCCAGCAGCCACTCCCTGTATTAAAGCCATTAGTCCCAGTGAGGGCTGGACGACAGGCGGAGCGACCGTCATTCTGATAGGAGACAACTTCTTTGACGGCCTACAGGTCGTCTTCGGCACCATGCTGGTGTGGAGCGAGGTAACACACACTCACTCACTCACTCACTCACTCACTCACACTCACTCATTCACACACACACCTGATCCATAACCAAAAATCAATAATGACAACATCCTTTAGCTAATATATGAAGGTCCTGATTCAGATTCAACTTTATTGTCATTGCACAAGTATTGTGCAAGTACTAGTACAACAAAATGCAGTTGACATATGACATTACTCCTGATTCTAAAGTCTCCCTGTGTCTCACTCCCTCTGTGTCTCACTGTCTCTGTGTCTTACTCTCTCTGTCTGTCTGTCTCTCTCTGTCTCACTCTCTCTGTCTCACTCTCTCTGTCTCACTCTCTCTGTGTCTCCTTCCAGCTGATCACCCCTCATGCTATCCGGGTGCAGACTCCTCCCCGTCACATCCCCGGTGTTGTCGAGGTAACGCTGTCCTACAAGTCCAAACAGTTCTGTAAAGGAGCACCTGGACGATTCGTTTACACAGGTAACACACTAACGATTAGTTTACACAGGTAACACACTAACGATTAGTTTACACAGGTAACACACTAACGATGCATTACACAGGTAACATATATACATAACCTATCTCCAAGCCATGGTCAAGCCCTACACCCCCGCCCGACCACTTCGCTCTGCTGCCTCGAGGCGATCGGTTGCCCCGTCGCTCAGAGGTCCCTGCGGCCGATCGACCCGGTCGCGGCTATTTTCTGTCCTGGCCCCACAGTGGTGGAATGAACTCCCCACTGACGTCAGGACAGCAGAGTCGCTGCCCATCTTTCATCAGGCTGAAGACTCACCTCTTCAAGAAGGCCTACCCTGAGCCTTCCACTCACCACTTATTGTATTCATACTAGTTTGTTTCTGTACTTCTGCTCTGGTTTATGCTCTTAGATGCTTGTTAGATGCTTCTGGTGACTAGTAGTTCTCTTGAATACCGATGTTGAATACACTTATTATAAGTTGCTTTGGATAAAAGCGACTGCTAAATGACTGTAATGTAATGTAATGTAAATGTAACACACTGTAACAAATGTGACAACGATTAATTTACACACACATATGTGTATATATATTTATATACGAATTTATCCTTGAAAGACGCAGTGAAGATTAGTTCAGGTTTGATCCATAAAGAATGTTAAGAGGACAGACAGACTGCAGGTTAAACAGACACACAGGTGATAACAATCAACAACACAAGGTCACACACACACACACACACACAGCAAGCTGTAGATAAGACAGACATCTGGAGAGCTAACACACTCATATAACTGCTGCTTGTTACGCCCTGTGGGCCTTCAAGGACTGAACACACACACACACACCACACACACACACTGTTTGCTGGAAAGGAGAGTCAGTCTAAAGCTTGTTAAACGCAGCTGAACCAAGACAGGATTATGATTCATGCCCTTTACACACACACACACACACTAAAACACACTCACACACTAAAACACACTCACACACACTCACACACACACTCACATGCTCGCCGTGCTCTGCTGCGTTCACTGACGCTCACATTTATCATCTCCCGACCACTTTAAGCTGTAAATGATATTGGAGGAGGGCTGAAGAGGAAACTGTGTCTAACCAATCAGAAACCAGAGAGACTCCAACTGCTCCAATAATGGTTGTGATTTTAGTTTGTTGATAAGCAACGGGACCCTAACAATGGTCTACATGTCAGTCATCATTTCATTTACTCAGTCAGTGTTTGTGTTGTTTTAACTACTGAACTAAAGTTAGGACCAATAGAACATTTTAAAGGACCACTGTAACCTCCTGAAGGTCTTTAGAGCCTCCTTTAGGATCTTTGGAACATTTTAAAGGACCGGTATAACCTCCTGAAGGGCTTTCAGAACCTCCTATCACTATCATATTAATATGTTGTAAAAGGTTCGAAGTCACAAACATCTTTGTTCCAGTTTCTCGTTGGAGACCAAGTGTCTGATGTCTCAGAGTGAGATGATTTTCATATTTTTATTTCAATAGTTTAACAACGTCTGATCAGTTTCTTTCTTCCCCGTTCTCTTCCTCAGCTCTCAATGAGCCCACCATAGATTATGGCTTTCAGAGGTTACAGAAGGTCATTCCTCGTCACCCCGGAGACCCAGAGAGACTGCCCAAGGTACCACACACACATACACACAAAACAATTGTTTTATACAAACACAGACAGAATAACTGATTATTGTTGGTGTTTTTCATCAGTCTGTGTTCTGGTTGGCTGCCTAGAGTCCTGATAACAATCAGCTGCATCTACTGTGTGTGTGTGTGTGTGTGTGTGTGTGTGTGTGTGTGTGTGTGTGTCAGTCTTTAACACACACATTGTGTATCTTTAACAAACACACACTATGGCAGTTCGGAACTTTTACAGTTCTGGACAGAAACGGAAGAATTGTTCTGCGTGATCAGATGTAAGGTTTTGTTTCTGTCAATGAAGAGAAACCTTAATGCTGCAACAAAGATATTTTAGAGCAGTGGTTCCCAACCTATGGTCCGGGGCCTGATAATGGTCATTAGTTAAATATGAAGGTCTATGAGACAATCAGAGGAAGAAACCTAGTTTTTTCATGGTTGTCAAATTGTCTTACATCTTCAAGCACCTAAAACAATCTCAATAACATAATATGAACATGAAAATATATATATATAATATATATATATATATATACATAACTATTTCTGTCACTTTTCATGTGAATACACAATGAGCGTCTTCAGGAGTGAACACGAGTATTCTTGGTCTTTAGGAGGATGAGGACATTCAGGACACTTTGTCTTCAGAAGAGGACTCGTTGTATGTGAAGCTTACAGCTTATGATAAGCTGTAAGCTTCACATACTTCTGTCCATGAGGTGGATCTTATTTCACCAGAGTGCAGAAGAAGTGAACTGGTTGGTGACAGTAACACACATGTCATGATGTATTTCAGTATTTGTGCTGAATACATTCCTGGAGGATCTCTGCAGCTCTGCTCTGATGAGGGCTGACATGCTGTTAGCTCCGTAATGAAAACCACATCCCACTATGTCTTTAATAATTCATCCAGAATGGTTTTATTCTATTACCCACGCTGCCTTGTGCTCAGTGTGCTGCAGAGCGACTGTCTCTAATAACGGGAAGTGATCCTGATGTCTGAACGAGGTTTATTGATTCAGAAAGGACTCTGTCTTCATGTAGACCGGGATCTACGCTACAATCCAGGTTGTGGAGACATCAGATGTAATGGTCATCTGATTCTGGTTTCAGATGTTCAGCAATTAGTTCACAAAAAGGACCATGAATACCAGGAGTCTACTAGTCCATATATAGTGGATGAGCCTCATCTGTTACATGTGGGTCAACTAAAAGTACAACCAGGTAGAGAACAAGCTAACTTTGGTGTTAGCTAGCAGGTCCCAGACCAGCTGAGCTCTAAGTCTAAGTTCCTGCTGGAGGTGCTGCTTGGAAGGCTTGCCCTGGACTCACAATGTGATTGGTTTAAATTGCTGTCAGTCATCCTGACAGTAGCCTGTGATTGGCCGGGCTGCAGAGAGGACCACTCTGGGTCGTTGCTCATATCGCAGGACCTGAGAAACCTGGTTCAGCTTTCTATATGAATGGGTCTGATGGTTTATTATTGACTCTGGTTGTGAACAGACAAAGGTCCAGTTCCTTCAGAGGAAACTGGAAATGTTCAGAGTTATAATATATAGTATATATACATATATATATATATTTATATATAATATGTTCCTTCTGCTGATGAAGACCTTTTCTACACCAATGACCAAGCACAGACCTTCGCTGTGACATCACGCAGCAGACAACCCTGTTTTAAAGTTGTTTCTATGTAAATGGACCAAAACAACATTCATTACTGTTAGCTAACGACACACACACACACACACACACACACACACACACACACACACACACACACACACACAGAGTGAAAAGCATTAAGTTCAACAAACACTCACACATACAGAGATGATTGAATAAAAGGTAAACCCGTGTGTTTGCATAGTGTGTGTGTGTGTGTGTGTGTGTGTGTGTGTGTTTGCATAGTGTGTGTGTGTGTGTGTGTGTGTGTGTGTGTGTGTGTGTGTGTGTGTAAAGCCCATTGGCAAACAGAGAGGTTGAAACAGTCAAATCAGGTAATCAGCGAGTGCAGCCATGTGGCAAGAAAGGAGATTGGCACACACACACACACACGATTATGTGTCTGTTATCAGATTCATAAAAACAAATAACTTATTTCTGTTTTTGCAGTTTTAGTCGTTATGTTGGCCTCTAGAACAAAAGTCAGTCTCAGTTTCTCTTCTAATAGAAATATTATATAGCAGCATGAATAATAAACGAGTCCAAACATAAATGGTTAAAGTCAGAGTCGTTCATGAAGCCGTTTGTGGTCGGCTTCTCTTCCATGCTCAAAGCATTTGATTGGTTGGTGAGTTTCTCCACCTGTCCAGGTGATGTCACCATCATTGAGAATGAAAACTGGCTGCATGTTGTTGGTGTGTTGCTTCATGTGCTCATCAACAATCAAGTCTTTATTTGAGCACATCAAAGCTCCCTCCGACAACAATAAGTATGAAAGAAAACCACAGAGACATCAAACATCCAAATATTGTAGATTGATGAATAACTTACTGTACAATATGTATCAATAATAAGTCAAAACAAAACAGTACTCACCAACTATTGACACAATAATTAAAACAAATATTGATCAAAACAATGTATAATACTTAAAGAAGAATGAGAAAATAATCTTTAATATTTATCAATAATGAGCAAAATACTATAAATTACTTTGCAGTACAATCATGTGAAATTCACTTAATAATTCTTGCAAAAATCTAAACAAAAATCAACTTAATAAATAAAATAATGAGTTCCTCCAACATTCACCTGTGATCCTCTGCTGCTGATGATTCAGACGGATCATTTGTTTCACTTGTGTTCTTATAATTATAATAATACAAATAATTGTAATAATAATTATTATTATTATTATACAATTGTCATAATAATTATTACCTCTATTGTTATTATTCACGATTTTGTGTTATTAAGGTTATTTTTTCACTGCTGAGGTTTAAAGATGGAATGTGTGTGTGTGTGTGTGTGTGTGTGTGTGTGTGTGTGTGTGTCGTGGCTTAACAGAATAATTGGTTTCTCTCAGCGATGACATCCCAACCTCCAGCTCTATCGCTGTGGTAACCTTGTTAATGTGTGTGTGTGTGAGTGTGAGAGGTGCTTGTCATCGCGCTGCGTAACAATGAAACACTTGTAATAATAATAAGGCTTTCATTTGTCACTGTAAACACTGTGTGTGTGTGTGTGTGTGTGTGTGTGTGTGTG